CCACCTCAATCTTTAAATGCCATTTCCTCTTGGAGGCCTTTCCTGACTTCCTAAACTAGGTTTGGTCTCTGTGCTAGGAACTTTCCTGACATAACATTCATTGTTCTTTGTCAATTTATCTGTATGCTTAGAAAGGAGGGCTCTGTCTATTCACAGTTGTGGCCTCAATAGTCAGCAGAGTAACTCTGCAGGCATCAAAAAATTTTGTTAAATAAATAAAAGGAAATATAATACATATAAAAAGAAATATAAAAATAAACCATGCATAATAGATGTGGTCCTTTACCTGGAATGATCTAGATAAATAGTTCTTATAGATTTTCTTTGGAGGTGCAACATTTCAGCTTTCATAGGTAAGAACAAAATAGGTATTTTTAAGTAATAGTTGGAGCTGTTACAATGGAAGATAGATTGTGATTTGATGGCTCTTGTGTCTTTTAGATTGTTTCCAGGCCAGAAAAAGTGGATGAAAAATTTGATTACTCCTGGAGACATTCATGTCCTGTATCAAAATAGTAGTAATACTGGAAAAGCTAGTTACCTAAAGGTGGGATGGATAAATAAGAAATTTATCAAGAAGTCTTTGAGTATAATATACATACTTACATAGATATGATAAAATATTACCACTAAAATTTTTATCTAATATAGGGAAGAGAAACTATAAATATCCTAAGAAAGATGACTTCAATACATGCTCAGTTGTGTTTAAATATATTTTTCTAAAGAAAAAAAGAGCAGCTGGCCTTACAATAGTAAGAAAAAGGTATTGATAACTAGACTGTAGGGGAAAAAAAGTGCCTGAAATGTTTATTCAAGGGTGGTATTCTTTCTTTATTCAGAGCTTGGTTGTCAGGCTTGAAAAGCAACAGATTACTGATGCATCCTACAGCCAAGTCATGGAGAACATAAATAAATTTGTCCTCAGTCCAGCAATGAATAAAGAGGGAGAAGACTTACTCTTTGTATTTCAAGGGTCAATGCCTTCTGTCTGGCTTCAGTAGGACGATTTCTAGTAATGACAGTTATATGACACAACTTAGAACCACAATAATTTCGCTTTCATTAAACACAGCAAAGAGATCCTTAAATCCTCATACTGCATGATTAATATCTTGCATTGATTTATTTGCATTTTTTATCATGTGGATGATATAGAGACCGGGAAATCTAAAAGAAATCTCTTGATCTATTTAGGAGCTTTAAATAATTTATTTTATGCCTCCTCCAGTTTAAGGAGGTAGTTTTAAAAAAAAGCTGGGGTCAAGATAAATGTAGCGGAGTGAAAATAAACAAGTAAACTGCAGTAGTATGTTTACTAAGGGCAAAGATAAAGCTGTTTTAAAAGTAATTTATGAGAATTCCTACTAAATTAAAATACTTGATTAATTTTGCTCTCTGCCCTAAAAAATGTCTTTAGAAATATTAATAACTCCCACCTTTTGGCCAGAAGCCAATATCTTTCCATCTCTTAAATTGCACACACATATGCACACAGATACACACACCCTTACACAGAGTTTTGATGAAGCCAGGGCTAATTTTAGGTCATTCTTATTACTGTGATTAATGGTAAAAAAAAAATTTTAAACAGGAGCAATATCTAGGAAGATATGATTTTTAGAACCTTTGTAGTCAGCATAAAAAGGGGTATTTCTGAACCTACTTATATGAAGAGATTGTGAGTTGCCTATTATAGACAAGGCGCTGGCTGTCTGGTGAGTCACCTATGTGGCAAGCTCAAATAGGTAATAACTGTGATACAAAATGGCATAAAGTATCATGTGAAGAAAGCTTGTAATAAAAGAATTTGAGAAAATGAAAAGGAATAAGAATTCCTGTTGTGGTGATCTGAGAAGACTTCATGAAAAAATGGATGTGAGATGATTGTTGAAGAAAGGGTAGGGCTTTCTAAAGGTGGAAATAAAGGGAAGTGTTTCGTAATTTATGGAACACAATCCAAATGTTGTTACTTATCTTTTAATAAATATTTGTAATGTGAAATTGCTTCAGAAGTCATCTCATCTGCCCAAATAAATTATAAATTATGAAAAGCAGTGGTTATAGCTTAAAATGCCTTATAAACCTGCAGCTTACAAATATTCCTTACTTAAGAAGGGTAAAGAACACACTTCTCCTCTCTCCACAATGACTGAATCTCACCCCAAACTCCATTAGGTATTTCCCTCCCTTCTTCTGTCCCAACATTATTGGGAGGAAGGAAAAGTGTCACAACAAAAGCCAAAAGGATTGACACCTTCATGGAGGTAGACTATACACAGAATAAAGATTAAATAAAGGACTAAAGAGTGTTCACTGGATTTGGTAATGTGGAGGTAAATGGGTGACTTTAACGAAAACAAGTGAAACCAATTATTTCCCCGTGATACTCATTTTTTCTGACTCTATACTTATGACCTTGTAGAATAACAACATAATTCAGTAAGAAAAAGGTAGTCATTACCCAGTAACTTTCATCCCTCCTAGGATATTAAAATTGACCACTGAATGACATGTTCCAAAACTATCTCAGCAAGTTAACTTGAAAGGATATTTTGATTTTAAAATCTGTACTACATGTATGGCCTCTTTAGTCTGTGGACACTTTATCTTCCAGAAATGTGGTAAAAACAAACAAACACAGAAATAGATCATAAACTATTTAGGATACATACTTCCAGGCTTTACAACAGATCCACTTCTATTACTAAGAAATCTTCAACCATCTCCTTTTTATCACCCTTAAATGCTCCAACACCAATACCATTATGTTTTAGTTACCTGGCTATAATTGAGCTGTATAAAAACTATTTGCTACGCCTTTTGACCATAAGTACAAACTTTAAACTGTGCCATATTTTCTGGAGTTAAATTCAACATTATACAGTTTTGTAAGGTTGGAAAGAAACCTTAAATGGCTACGCAATCTGTTGTTCTAGGCAAAGCTACTAAAAGTGCAAAGAAAATCTTTTTATTAGAGCCATTAGGATATTTTTTAAATGTTTTTATTGATTTCAGAGAGAGGAAGGGAGAGGGAGAGAGAGAAACATCAATGAGAGAGAATCACTGATCAGCTGCCTCCTGCATGCCCCCTACTAGGGATCAAGTCTGTAATCCGGTGTGTGCCCTGACTGCGAATCAAACCCTCAAGTTTTGGTGTATGGGATGACGCTCCAAACAACTGCGCCAACCCAGCCAGGGCTATAAGAGGATTTTTAAATCTTTGTTGGCTATCTATGTATTAAGAGCCTACTTTATATTATTTGATAAACCTTCAGAAATAATTTTATTCAAAGAGCAACACCCATGAACCTTTAAAATGAACCATTTATTAAATCATTCTTAACAGTTATGTAAGTTACATGTATGTTTATGCCAGAGTATTTCACATGGAAATCTTTTAAACTTTTATAGGCAAGCAAAATCGTACCACACAATATATAAGTGGGAAGGGGTACTGCTAAACATTCAAATAAAGCAAGTATTTAAAAACAATAATTGACCAAATTGTGTCTTTTCAGGGAAAAATAAAAAAGATAAGCCACTGTAAAACATTTAGTTGAAATGTATGCTAATATTTTTCTTAGAAATAAAAAAATTATGGAAGAAAAGGGTTATTTATCTTAAGGAAAAAAAAGCAAAACACTGGAATGATCAAACATTTCCAAAGAACAAGCACCACAAAGGACATTTGCATTCAGTTTTGTAATATTTATCAATGTGTTTTTCTTACTCCAACCAATCTACTTCATCGAATTCTGAATCATCTTCTGAATCACTATATTCCACAGCAATACGGCGGGACAGGATGGTGGCAACATCATTTTCAATGCGTTCATGTTTAGCTTCCTGTTCACGCTGCTCTTCTACTTTTCGTAGCTGAATACCTGATATAGTAAATCCAAACCATTCATTGTAAACCAAAATACTAGATATTATTAATCTTTCTGGAATAAAATCAAATACACATGAGAAATACTAACAGAAAAATAAAAAGCAATGTCTATTAAAAAGATCTTGAAGGAATCTTATTTAAAAGACATTATTATTTTTTTTTATTATGTTACCTGTAGTTGGTGGAACTTACCAGACATCCCACTAGATATCTACAATGTATTAAACCATTATAATCTACTGTGCCTCCCTGCTCACCAAATCCTAAAAAGTTAACCAGATGATACTTTTCTTCTGTGATTTCTAGAATCAAATAAAATAAACATTGTTGACGATATTTTCTGAGGCTTTATTCTCTCTGGTACTGAGGAAAAGGCACTCTTATTCATTCTATTCTGTAAGCTCCTGGCATGTAGTAGGTGTTTAGAAAATGCTGGCAGAATACAGGAATGAATATGTCAGGTCTTTTTTTTGTTACTAAGGGAGGAAACTTAACCCTTTAACGGCATCTGGTAGAGCCAGTGTCACTGAGACACCAGATGGACAGCCTTAACGCTGAAGAAAATACAGTTTTTTAAGAGTTAATATTCATATTAAAAATAATGTAAATGGTTTTAACTAATTTTCTTTAATGTTTAAGTCTGACTTTTAATTTCTCATTTATATAATAAACATTGAGAATCTCTAAGTATGAAAATAAAAGTTAAATATGATATATTTTCTTGAAAATGATTTAAAATTGAACACAGCTTTACTTTCTAAAGACCATTTGTGCAAAAACATGATCATTTAAAATTTTTTAACTGAGTAAAACATTATTGTCCAAATATTTAGAAAGTTTCTAGTACTACAATAGCAAAGCTTTTAATGGCCCTGAGAAAATTACCTTTGCGTATTGCTTCCAGAAGTACACTCCTGGCATCACTGATTACAGGTAGGGTTGATGGATGACGCTTTGGCTCAGAAGCAGGTACAACTTGTGATGGAGGAGATGGAGGCATTAATGGAACATGGGGATCTGGGGCAGTAGATGGAGTTGGATGTAGCCCAGAGGGAGGATGAGCAAGAATTGCAACTGTGACAGGTGATGATGGTCGAATGCCAGGTGGAGGCAAGGGAGGCGGTGGCGGGGGTGGTGGCAGCCCCTGGACTTCACCTTGTGGGAGTGGATGAACTGGTACAGTCTCACATACTGGGGCAGCTCTAGCTACCGGTGGAGAGGGCTGTACTAGAGGAGGTGCAATTGGAGGAGGAGCTGGGTGAAGAACTCCAGGGGCAATCTGAAGAGGAGCTGGAGGTGGTGGTACTGCTGGAGCTTGCAAAGTAGTGGCTGGAGGTGGAGGTGGGGGAGGTACTGGTGGGGGAGGAGTTGAAGTCATTGAAGCTCTTAATGAAGAAGTTGACAAGGCAGATGGAAGAGGCGGTGGAGGAGGTGGGGGGGTGGGGCTCACAAACACAGGTGTCCTGCCTGTAGCTGGTGACTGAGGGCGATTTTCTATCAAACCTGTAGCAGAACTGAAATGATAAAGAGATCCTAGCAAGTTATTAAAAGAGAAAAAATTAACCACACAAAACATAAATGACGATCAGTAATAATACCAACGTAGGTGTATGTATTAACATGTTCCTATAGGAATTACAAAATTTTTAGCAGTATTGAGAATGAAAGGAGTACTAAAAGTGGACCAACAAGAAAATTAATACATGGGACTTTGGTTTGTAATATTCTAAGTGGTCTCATCCTCTCATGCAACTTTCATATCCATTCAAGCATTTTATGCTTACAATTTTACACTGTGATATGAGTCTTTATAATGACTCAACATTTATTATATTGCAATATTTGTAGCAATACCGTGACCACTAAAATGCTGTATTTATATTGAAGCTATTAAGGCTCATCATATGTCATTTCAGTTAAATCAGTGACAACTAATTACAAACCATTAACGGAAATGTATGGCCCTCTTCCTTCCTGAGGATAAAACATCAAAGGAGTCAGTGACAGAAGGTTGATTTTTTTTTAACTGAAAATTATGAAGCTGATCTCTCTCTTTAAAAATTTACAACTTGAACAATGGACAAAATTAAACTTCAAAATAGCTTTACTGAAAATACTATGAGCAACTGCCTATTCTATCTCAAATTCTGAGAATATTTTCCCTAATATCAAATTAACATTTATAATCAACACCTTTGGTTCCCATTTTTTAGTCCCTTAACACATTATAAAAAATTTTTATTTGTGTTAATATACAATAAGTCCTCCCTTATCATTGTCGATAGGTTCAATGACTTTAAATGAAACGACATATAATGAAATCAATTTTACCATAGGCTAATTGTATAGACAAGAGTTAAGTTCCCATAGCATCTAATCAACGTTAAACATGTTGAATAAAAAGATGACTCTTCAAGGGCCCGCCATACTGCACATCCTGTGTTTAATAACAAAGCTATAATAAAATGAAATGCACTTTAAACTTTAAATTCTCATTAGTTATATTTTCCCAAGCCAATGTGTCAGCTCTTATCAGAAGTTGGAAAGTCACCTCCCAAAAGATCAATTTGCCTCTCTCCCTGTTTTTGTAAATAAAGTTTTGTTGAAACACAAACATATTCATTTAATTATGTATATGGTCCATGACTTCTTTCATGCAGCAATGGCAGAGTTTAGCAGGTGTGATACAAACATATGCCCAACATACCTGATACAGGTGGGTATGGGTTTTGCATCTCCTGCTCCATGCATTGGTGGAGGTGGAGGTGGTTCATGTGGTCTTACGAGGACCCTTTCCTCGGCTCTAGTCAGAAGCTCACTCATCTGACTAAATGGCAAGGCAGAAAGTGAGTAAGATCCATCCATATGATCCACATATGTTTGAGGTCTAAAAAAAAAAAAAGTATCAGTATATTTTTCTTGAATTATTGGAGTAACGTGTTCTACATGAAATAAAGATTATCCTTTGAGTGCCAATATTTTAACCACCTTTAAGAAACTTCTTCCAGAAATTCATTACATTCACCCTGCTTTTAAAACAAAAAATGCTGCTCACAATGCAAATTTTCCTTGCTGATTGTCTTTCATTATGATGACCTCCAGTTATTTTATTATTTTATAATGTCACACTAACTCAATTCATAAGGATAAAAGGAATTACATATATAAGCTTATAAACAAGAAAATAACCTTTAGCAAATTGCATTCAAAGCTGTCTGCCTCTATTTCATTTCTTTCTTTACAATAAGATGCCAATGACAAAAAGTTAGAATATAAAAATTGGAATTTTTCACCCTAGCCAGTTTGGCTCAGTGGATAGAGTGTCGGCCTGCAGATTGAAGGGTCCTGGGTTCGATTCCAGTCAAAAGCACATGCCCATGTTGCGAG